GGATCAAAACTTGGCTGCCTGGCGTCTGTCCAGGTCATGAGGCAGCTGGCCTGGACGACCTGTGTGTGTGTGGTGAGATGGATGAGCAACAAACAAATACATCCGGTGGGTGGGAGTATAGCAGAGTGTTCATACAGACAGACAGCCACACTGACACACACAGCTGGCGGCACAAACAGGGGTATCTGTCTGTCTGCCTGTGTCGGCACATTCGGCCGCCCCGTCGCCCTTTGTTGTGGGGGCCCGCCAGTGCGTGAGTGCTCAGGCAGACAGGCAACGAAGGCTGTGGTGCGTACACACCCAGACAGACAGACAGACAGGTTTGTATGCATGTCCGTGAAGCGCATCCACACACTTGTACAGACAGACGGCTGGTGCCACTTCGCCTGTGGGTCGGGGGCACGTGCACTCGCTGGCTGCCTCGGCGGGGGATGTGTGTATGCTCAGAGGTACATGAGATGTTGGAAAACGGGACAGAGGCCGTCCGATCGATCGATTGACATGATGGGATCTCTCTCTCTCGCTCGCTTCACTCTGTCCTCGAGACCCCCCACAACAGCCAGCCACACCAGCCAGCCAGCCAGCCACACCAGCCAGCCAGCCTCCCATCGGTTGTGTATGAATCGACCAGCCTGTCAGCAACGGCACTGTACTGCCGGCACGACCGACCAGTATCGGTGCGCATCTGTGGACCAGCCAATACGATCCACATCCATCCATCCAGCCATCCATTCATCCATCGGCCACAGCAACAAGGCACACACGGACGCCAAATCAGACAGAAGGGCCACAAGAGAGAGACGGCAAGGAAGTCGGTCAAGGGACGGTAACTGGGTGGGTGAGTGAGTGTGTGTGGAGGTATGTACACCCGGGGCGAGGAAAGGCAAGCCAGCCAGGGAGGGAGGGGAGAGAGAGAGGTTTCTGTCTGTCTGTCTGCCAGTCAGTCCATCGCACCATCATCGTCCCTCTCCCCGCCCGCAGACAAACCACCCAACCCAGTGCTCCTCCCCTCTCTCCTCCTCCCCTCCCCTCCAGCAGCACCAAACGAAACAGCCAGCCAGCGAGTCAGTCAGTCAGTGAGGCCACCCACACACGTCACTTGTACGGATCAATGGATAGATGGGTGTGATGCATCTGAGTGAGTGAGTGAGTGAGTGTATCAGCCGGTGGCAGAATGGTCCTCCCCCCCGCCGGCAACCCAGGACCACTCGCCGCTCCCAGAGGCAGCAGCTGGAGAGGGAAGGCAGAGGACACAAGCCAACCATCCACCGATGGATAACGGCTGACTGACGTGAGTGACTGCAGCGCCTCCCTCCCTCCCTCTCTCCTTACCGGCAGCCGCAGCGCTCGCCGACGGCTCGCCGGTCTCCTCAGCCCCAGCCGCGCCGTCACTGCCGCCTGGGCCGACGCCCCCGCGGGCCTGCCAGTCTGATGATGGACGAAGGCCAACCAACCAACACAACACAACACATCAGTGGTCGGATGGCTGGCAGTGAGTGGTTCCATCCCTCAGTCCGTTCGTACCGTCCTGGAGGGTCTGCTGGATGGCGAGCTTGTCCTCATCGACGCCCCCCGGGGCCGCCTCAACTGAAGGGCAGAAAGCGAAGCGCACATAGAGCGGGGAGACAGACAACCAGACGGATCCACACGTGTGGGTGGGTGTGGGTGTGGGGTCTGTCGGTGCAATGCGGTTCCTCTTACGCGCGAGCTGGCTGTCACGGCTCTCGCAGGCGCGACCATGTGCTTTCCTCCGCAGCTCTTCTACCAGCTCGGCACGCGCTGCCTTGTCCACAGATCTCCCCCTCACAATCGACACGTGATACTGCTCCAGCAGGATCCGCACCAACTGCTCCTTGGCCACAAGCAGCTTGGAGGGGTCGCGATCCTCAGGCCTCAGCTGGAGCAGCACATCACACAGAACCCGCACAGCCTGCCGGAGGGCCGGCGAACAGCTGGCTGCATCGTTGTGGATGGTGGTCTTCAGTTTGTTGAGGCGCCCCCGGAGGAAGCCCAGCACTGTGCCTCGTGGTCCGCCTTCTTGTTCTGCCGCTCCCACAGTCCGTCATCAAAGGACTTCTTGATCTTGAAGGACTTTGCCATCCTGCCAAGCAAACCATCGCTGCCCCCACCCCCCGTGGCCGCACTCGACGCAGCACCCGACGCACCTGCTGCCCTCTTTGCTGAGTTCCGCGACCTCTTGTCGTCTTTTTTGGTCTGCGGCACGGCTTTCTTCTTGGACAGGGCCTTGATATCGAGAATCACCTTGTCGCTCCACGGGTGGGCGTCCCTGTTGTAGTTGCGGCGCTTCCGAACGAGCAGGACAGCAAGGGCAGGGGCCAGGGAGTAGACATCGCTGGCGCCGCAGTAGCCCCTGAAGCCCCACTGGGTCAGCAGTGAGTTCATGGTCTCCTGATGCCGCAGGCAAAGCTCCTCATCCTCCCAGCTCTGATCCACCGCCTTCCGCATCAGGAAGGCCTCTGGCGCCATCGAATTGCGTTTGCCGAAGCCCTCATTATTGTCCCATCGCTTCCACTCGATGGTCTTGCTGCCGGGCTGGTCCAGGATCTCGTCCTCGGGCTCCCACCCTGCGTACCCTTCCAGCTCAATCACCACCAAGCTCAGCACAGGCAAGGAGATCTGTGTGGCCGCCGGGGCGGATGACGCTCCTCCCGCGGCGAGTGCCCGCTGCTCCGACTCAGCAGCAGGGGCATCAGCAGCAGTAGGCTCCTCGTTGGTCCCAGCTGCCTCGCTGCGGGGCGACGGCTCGGTGACGACTGACTTGGAGGGGGCCGTAGTGCCTTGCTGGGCGGCTCGGGGGTCGACAGAGGGCGCCTCGATGCCTTCCTCCTCTGCGGCCTCTGACGGGCCGGGCAATGGTGGCGACTCCTTGGTGGCCGCGGGCCCCTCTCTCTCGGGCAACGCCGCCTCAGCAACCACCCCCCCCTCCCCGCCAGCCGCGGGCTCGTCTCGCCCACTGCTGCCGCCACCACGTGCCCCATGCCGCACACCTCCCTCGAGCGTCAGAGGGGCGGCCTGGTGTCCATCGCCCCTCTCAGCCACGCCGTCGGTGCCGGCGGTGGTGCGCCCAGACCTGACGCCAGCGATGTGGCCGACGTGCAGCTGTGGTCCATGTTGGCCAACAGCCGGTGATGCTGCTGCTGTTGCGAGTGAAGGGGGGCTGGGGAGGATGCCATGTCAATGGATGAGGGCGGGGCGTCACGCGAAATCGGCTGCCAGCATAAGCAACAAAGGAAATGTTTTTGAGTGGATGGATGAATGGGCATAGCAGCTCACCTTTGGCAGTGCGGTGGGCGGCATGGGCTGGCTCTCCTTCACCTCGCTGCCCATCGCCATGTCACTGGACGACTCGCCTGAAGCAAACAAACAACGCATAGACATCTTGGCATACATCATCATCTCTCCCATACCAGGTTGTGGGTCC